ACAGTAGGTATGGTGTTCTTTGGATGCAACTCAGCATTCTCTCTCCTCCAAACACGACGAGTTGTGTTTCTACCAAATAGTTCTATTTTGGTTTCATCTGAACATATGACATTCTCCCAATCCTCTTCTGCATCATCCAAATGCTCTCTAGCAAACTTCAGACGGGCCCGGACATGTACTGGCTTAAGAAGGGGAACACGTCTGGCACTGCAGGATCTGAGTCCCTGGCGGCGTAGTGTGTTACTGATGGTAGCCTTTGTTACGTTGGTCCCAGCTCTCTGCAGGTCATTCACTAGGTCCCCCCGTGTGGTCCTGGGATTTTTGCTCACCGTTCTTGTGATCATTTTGACCCCACGGGGTGAGATCTTGCGTGGAGCCCCAGATCGAGAGAGATTATCAGTGGTCTTGTATGTCTTCCATTTTCTAATTATTGCTCACACAGTTGATTTGTTCACACCAAGCTGCTTGCCTATTGCAGATTCAGTCTTCCCAGCCTGGTGCAGGTCTACAATTTTGTTTCTGGTGTCCTTCAACAGCTCTTTGGTCTTCACCATAGTCGAGTTTGGAGTGTGACTGTTTGAGGTTGTGGACAGGTGTCTTTTATACTGATAACAAGTTCAAACAGGTGCCATTGATACAGGTAATGAGTGCAGGACAGAGGAGCCTCTTAAAGAAGAAGGTACAGGTCTGTGAGAGCCAGAACTCTTGCTTGTTTGTAGGTGACCAAATACTTATTTTCCACCATAATTTGCAAATAAATTTGTTCCAAATCAGCCAATGTGATTTGTCTGGATTTGTTTTCTCATTTCGTCTCTCATAGTCGAGGTCTACCTATGATGCTAATTACAGGCCTCTCATCTTTTTTTTAACAATACATTTTTATTAAGGATCAGGTCATTCATACATGGCATAAACAGTGCAAGTGAGAACATATGCTTTCATTTACCGGTACATGACACTGAAAAAGTACAATACAGGTAAGTGGTTTCTATATATATATATGTATATCCAGCACCCTTCCAGTAACATGCCAATTTCAATATTTCAAATAACTATGGATCAGAAATGTAGACCTGTTATATTAACTTTATAAGCAAAACCTAGAGAAGTAGAAATAAAGAAAAGATAATAGTGTCGGCCGGCACTCTCCCGTGCGACCGGCAGCAGAGAGAAAGGAAAAGAAAATCAGGATGAACCCTACATAGCGCTTACATTGTGACTTAATCAGAGCCTCGAAACTTCCAGCTTATGGTGTAGGCAGATAACATTGTAACCACGATTCCCAGAGGTGTTGGAATCTCCCATGGCTCTGGGTTCTATAAGAGATTGCCCTCTCATACTTGCAGTGGGTCTGCACTTTCGATAAGGTTTCAGATGGCCTCTCAT